TACATACATACATACATACCTATGCATATATGCATAAGTATGTACAGAGACACACAGGACACCCAGACTTGTACCTCCACCAATCTTCCCAAGAAGTCCATATACTCTCACCCAGATCCCAATGAAGAAAGCCCTACCTCACTTCAAAGAAGCCTAGAAAGCCCTCCAAGAAGCCTATAGAACTCTACAAAACCCGGCATAGATGCTACTTCACACCAAAAAGCCAGAAACAAAAAAATAGGTAGCAAATCTTGGTTCAGCCTTTTGAGGTTGTAGGGCTCAGATGTTCTGGTCTGGGGGGGTTTCGGGCTTCGGGATGTTTCGGGTTTTGGGGGTTTCGGTTTTGTTTAAGTAAGGTATTTTGAGGTTTGAGGGCTTCAGGCCTCTAGGGGGTGTTTTTAGGGTTGAAGGGCGCCCCTCTCTCTGTCTCTTTAGGGTCGGGGCTTAGGATGTCGAAGGGTTCTCGGGGATCCTCCTGCTGTCTCCCGCAATTGCTTCGACTCCGAGAGCCCCGCGAACGACAAGACATGTCATATAGGGGCCTTCATAATAATAATTAGAATAGGGCTCCCTTATAGTATAGCAGTATAGTCACAACAAGGAACCCTAAGGAATCAGATCGGTAATTATTTGGGCTTCTACTTCTACATTATGGCACCAGACGTTCCGAAGTTGAAGCCCTCCGGCGGGTGACACCCGCAAACGCAGACACTTTTATGCCCTAAACCCTGAACCCTAGAGCCAGGCCCCGAGCATGCAGAATCGTAGGCAGCCATCGCCCAGAGAAGAAGACGGCTTGGGCAGCCAGGGCCGCAGGCGCTACGTAGCCTTCTGAGGGGCGCTGGCAATGGGGTTTAGGGCTTCATAGGGCTTCAGGGCTTTGGGGCTTTANNTTAGGGGTTTAGGGCTTTAGGGGTCTGGGGCTTTAGGAGTTTAGGGTTTAGGGCTGGTAAGAAAATGGCAGGGCTTTGGGATTTACGGTCGTGGCATTTCGGGTTGAGGACTCTGGGGCAGTGGAGGGTGGTAGATTTCGGGTTTAGGGCCTCGGGCATTTGGCCTTAGGGCTTGTGCGGTGGTCTCTTAATTCTAGTGCACCTGACAGGCCCGCAAAATCCATCATGAACCCCTGCTGAAAACAATAAAAAGACCCCTTCGAAGACCCCTTCTGAAAATCCAATAACATCCGTATATAAGCCCCGAACGAAAAAACAACAAACACAAAACACACACCACAAAGTGGGATTTCGTTGGGGATGCTTTGCTAGGGTTGCTTCCTGTGGGGAGGTGCTCAGCCTAGGGTGTTAGGTCTCAGGCTCTAGGGTTTAGGGTTTAGGGTTTAGGGTAGCGGGCCTTGGGCTTTGGCGGTAGGGTCTGCGCGAGCACGAGACCGCGGCTGAAACTCTTCGGGGCTCTTTGGGGTGCTCGTCGTACGAAGTGCGGGCCTTTGGCTTGAGGGTCTAGGGTCTTTTTGTATTTTTTAGGGTTTAGGGTTTCGGGTACTTACGGTTTAGGGGTTTAGGGCTTAGGGTTTAGGGCTTAGGGTTTGGGTTTGGGGTGTTCTGGGCTGATTCCAGTACTCAACGGCCGACGCCCAACCCCGAAAAGCGCGAAAGCACATTGAACCCAAATTCCAAAACCTCTACGCACTACTCAAAATCCCTGAACACTAGCCGATGACGAGCAACCGTAGAGGAGGCTGCTGCGGAGCAGCGATGGCGAAGGTATCCGAGGCTTTTTCACCTGGGCTTCAATCAAGGATCAGGTGCTATGGTGCGTGTTTACTGGAGCCCCCTTTTTCAACTGCTAGTGGTAAATGCTTCTAGGGCTTCGGGCTGGGGCTTTTAAGTTTGAGCTGTTGGAAGGTTTAAGGTTGCTCCTATGGCTTCAAAACCCTCTGTTCGAATCCTCTAGCCCACTTGAGACCATGCAAACGCTGCAGACAGACCGACTTCGAAACAACAGCCAGTGATTCTCAACTGGCATGTGGACCTAGAACGACTCGGACCCACCGAAGAGTGCTGCTGCGTGTAGTTTACGAAATTTCTATCGGGTTACCGGCGCATTGCCAACTGACCAGGCATTGCTTCAGTGCTTCAGAGCTGCAGAGATGCGTGGTCTAGTAGTTGAAACACAGGTTGTGGGGGTATGTTATAGCAAACTTATCATAACGAGCCCCAGGGAACAAGCTTGGCAAAGTTCAGGTTTCCATATTTCGCCCGAAACCCTAAACCCCAAACCCTAAACCCTAAACCTCTAACGGGATCGACATGGCTTGGCCGCAGATCGGCGCTGGGGGTTCACGGATCAGGGCTGGGCTGTTCCAGCAGCTGTATTACCCCTATCTCCAAAGCCACAAGCTCAGGGAATCCACCGACCAACCTCAACCTCAGAGTCGGTTTGGCCGCTCAAACTTGCTATAGAGCCATAATAGGAACCTTGATCTTAATCCTTACAAGACCCCTGCCTGTAGGAGCCTTAGAAGCTTGGTGGACCACGTCTCTTACACACGTCTCCTGCGCCTCTTAGGGTGTATGAGGGATGGGTTTAAGATTTACGGACTAGCGGTTTAGGGCAGGGTTTATGAGTGGGGGCTGTCCTAGAGCCTGAAACTCCAAGCCAGGGTCTTTGCCCAGAATTCCCAAGGACCTCAGGGGCCCTCCCGAAACAGCTCGAAAAGATGAGCTCCCTGGCAACTTCAAGGCTCCACTTGTAGGCTTTTTGCCCCAAACCAAACGGTTTAGGGTTTAGGGTTTGTAAACCCCAAAAGAATGCAAAATGCTGAAACCTTCATTAAACCAAACCCCCAAATACCCTGGTTGGGCCAGGCTTCCACCGTGGAGTTCTCCGTCTCATTTCCACCGCTCTCCGCAGAAGCGTTGACGGCCTCCTGGTCTGACTTTCCCAGCAAGGGTACACGGCTGAGGGGCTGGAGTCTAGAGTTGCAGGTTTTACACTTTAGCCCTAAACCGTAAGCCCTAAACCCTAAACTTAAACCCTACTTCAGGTTCAAGAGTTGCAGTTCACGGCTGCGGGCATGGGATTTGAGGCTCCGAGCGCTCGGAGGATTGTGGTAGTACTTGGCTTCATGCAGAAGTTCACCAAGAAGAGAGACGTGAGTAGATTATTAAGTGCTGCTGCGCCTTTAGTAGCCAGTAGGTTGAAGGCTCTTCCTCAAGTCCGCCAGGCATCAATACTGCTGGCTGGATGTTTTGCTAGGGTTTTCGGATTCTTTCCAGCGACATGTAAGTACGAACCTCATACCGACTTTTCTCGACACACACACACACAAAGAGAGACACTCTGGACTAAACGACTTACTGGCTGGCTAGTTCACTGAATAGGTAAATTATCTAACGAAACTATTTATGCTTCCTTACGCTGACTTACTAACTACATATAGTTAAGCAGTTAGCTACTGTAGCTGACTCACTAAGTAACCACTAACTCAACGGACCAGCGAGCTAAAGAAACCCATGCGTGCCCAGCCCGAAGGCCGACAGCTAAAATTGCGCTACTGTAAGTAAACCCCCCAAAACCCTCGAACGAACCCCCAACTGTTTGAGCCACGCACACCCTGAAACCCTAAGCCTGTCTCAACCCTAGGCACTATGCCCTAAACCGTAAGCCTCTATTCCCCTGAACCCCCAAAACCAACACCTTAAATCCTAGAACTACCCGGCCTCAACTTGGCTTTCACTCTCTGCCGATTGCACGACCTCCGGCGGAACCTTCCCCAGTGGTTGAGCTCAGGGTTTCATGTCGGGCTTCAGTCTTTCGGGCTTTCTGGGGCTTCGGGAAGCGATACCGACACTGAAAGCGGCGTGCAGCCAGAAACTAGCAACGGTTGACCATCAAGAAAAGCTCAACCTCTAAACGCAAGTTCTTGAGTTGCATTTGATGCTGCGACCTTGGTGGTCCTTCGTTCCTAGCTCGACATGGCACTTCGTTGATTTTCTCGATGCCGCACAAGAACATCAACGTGTTTAGGGCTTCGGGCTCTAGGTTTTCAGGGTTTGAGGTCAACTGCACTGCTCGAATGCAAGTCACAGCGTTCCAAATGGCGCTCCTACCATATTGTTGGCCGCAACGAACAACGAAACATCCAAACAAATTGCAAGACCTGAAAAAGCCCTCCCGAGCGAAATGGGTGTGCGTGCCATCCCGCGCGTGGGCTTTGTAGCAGATACTCATTGCTGGGCAATGCGAGTCTAGCGTGGCGACCCCTCAACGGTGTGACCGTGGCTTACGCCGTAGAGCCGTAGAAGCTGAGTCAAGGTTTCCCACGGGTTCGTGCAGCCGAGGGGCTTTGTCCTTTAACGAGGTCTCTGCTAAGTCCTGGTAGGTGCCAGTCGAGACGGATCGCTTCCGGATTTCAGAACAAGTGATCATTTGATAAGAACGTAAACCCCCAAACCCTAAACCCTGAACTTCCTAAACCCTAAACTAAACACCACACCCCCACCGTGATCACCCTAAACTCTAAACCTTTAAGCCTTTCAAGTCCGACCCTCCACCGTCCTACCACCACCTGACCAGACCATTGGCACAGAGGGAATCTCAAGCTGAAACTCTGGGGTTGAGCTGGGGCGGGTTTTTGAAGACTGGGGCTTTAGGCTTTCGGGTTTAGGGACTTTAGGCTTTGGGGCTTTGGGGTTTTGGGGTTTCGGTTTTGGGTTTAGGGCTCCGGTTCTGGGGTTTTGGATTTAGGGTGAGACTCATATTGGGGGCCCCTGTAATCAAAACCCAACTACTTGACTGGTCTGTCTTCGTGTCGTTGAACCCCTAAGCCCAGGCAACACAAGCACTAAGAGCCGCCACCCCTGAGTAGAACGAGCACACCCCACAACCAGGTCGAGTTCGTAGCCGTCGTAACCCTGCTCCATAGGGTTTCGGGTTTAGGGCTGAGGGTTTAAGGTTTAGTTGATGAGTCAACATTATGAGGGGCCTGATAAACCCACACGAGGTTCCGGGCCTCATCTTCCAACACTGCGCCGTCGTCCTCGGGGGTATTCGGCTGGAGGGTTGGCTCCATTCTCTCTGCCAAGAGATGCAGGAGAAAAGCGCGATAGGCTGACGAAATCCAGGCTCTGCCTCTTGGCCCCTGCTACAGTCTCCGTCATGCCTGAAGCCCTGAATCTACAAAGAGATGTTGATCCTGCAACCCTCATCGGAAACAGAGCATGAAGCTTAAACGGCAAGTCTCAACCCACAAACCTTTCCGGTTTAGGGTTTGGGAGTTTAGGGTTTGGGGTTTAGAGTTTAGGAGTTTAGGAGTTTGGGGTTTAGGGTTTAGGAGTTTAGGAGTTTAGGATCTTTCTGACCTTTCAAAACCATCCCGAAAAGGCCACTTCCAAAATCAGCAATCCCACGGCTCCGGAGCGGAAGGGGGCAGCTGAATTGGCCCATCCAAGATCTGCGCGAGAACCAGCCTCGGTGGATAGTCGTGCTAAAGTTTTGGGTTTTGGGTTCAGGGTTTAGGGTTTAGACTCCTAAACCCTAAACCCTAAACCCTGATTAGTTGTGCTATAGTTTAGGGTTTTTGGTTATACTATCTCGTAATGTTCCCCTAGTAAAAGTTCACCAGCATATGTACTCTTCGGCATTGTGTTTGAGCTTGGGGTCTTGAGCTTAGGTTTAAGGGTTTAGGGCTTCAGGGCCTTGGGCTTAGGGTTTAGCATTCAGAGGCTAGGGCTTGCGATGCGCAGGTCAGAACAGAAAGGCAAGCACACTGCCAACAAGCTGCAAGTGGCACGAAAAATCGCAAGAAAGAGCCCAAAGGGCATTGGCGCATAGGCTTACATGCCTCCATGGCCTTAGGCCTTTAGTTCGGGCACGGGATGCAGGATTCTGCCTTGAAATGGTAGTAAGGTTGCAAAACCCACACTCCGGCGGGGCAGGAAATGCGTGCTTCAAGTGGACACGGATGACCTTCCAATTGCCAAGCAGAAGCCGGAACCCGCTCCTGCTGCACTCGTGTGGAGGAACGTAACCTACACCACCATAATGAGGGTGCTCTGCACGATGTATCCCTACTCTTAGAAGATCTCAGCGTCTCAGCGGCTGCCCATAGAGCCAGTTCGAGAGCAGCAGGAGAAGCGCAGCCTGGTGTTCAGGGCTTAAAGTTTCGGGGTCGCGGGGTTTAGGGTGTTGGGAGTTCTTATTAAGCCTTAGGGTTTAGGAGTTCAGGGGTTCAGGGGTCTTAGGATTCAGGGGATCCACCGACTCTGCGGCTATGACCTTGGTAAACCCTAGGGGTTCAGGTTTTGGTTTTGATCGTTGCACGGGACAGGTAGACAAAACAGCACGATCCATATTCGTCATCGTCATGATCATCACCATCCTCATCCTCATCCTCATCCTCATCCTCATCCTCATCTTCTTCTATTCAGCATCATCATCTTCAGCATCATCATAGTATTGTTGCAATGCCATACTCGAAAAAACAAGGTTCAACTAACAAAGATGACTTGAGATTGGGGGTTCTCGAGGTCTGAGGTTTCGGGGTACACAGTCCTGAAAGAAGAGAGTTACGGCAATGCGAATGCCAATAAACTACCCAAAGTCACCCCCAGACAGGGCTTGCTCTGTAACGGCTTACGGCGGTTTACCGCTGAATCCACATGCAGAAGGCACCAGAAGCATGCCAGAACGGAACATCGTCCGCGAGGGCGAGCGGTTCACGACCTGCGAGAGGTTCTTAGAGGGCATCTTAAACAGCAACATGACATGAGTGGAGGATTGTGTGGAGCTTGTTCTTACCAGGGTCGTTACCAGATGGCGAGGGTGATAAACCCTAAACTGAGACTGCTTTTCTTAGGGCTTGAGCTTTCCAATAAGGACAGAGATGCCAAACCCGTCAAGTCTACAGGCCGATACATGGGCCTGAATAACACAGGGCTCTTATTGCAACTTGCCACCCCGAAACCCTATTCTCATTGAATTATGAGGGCCGTTGCATTCTACCCCGAATTTTGGGATTGTAACCCTGGGACCACCCACACGCTTGACCCCTAAAAACACCCATTTCGAATCAGGAGAGAAAACACTGTGGACCCAAAGAACGTAAGCATGAAGCAAAATATCTGATAAACAATCTGCAAACCCTAAACCCTAAACCCTACTTGTATGATAGACTTAGAAAAAGGAGTGGGCGAAGGCAGGCCTCCGAGACGGAGGGCAGCCAGCAGTTCGCTGGCCAGCACGGCCTCTGAAGGCAGGGCAAGGAGGCCCCAAAACCCTCATATCAATGACAATACCTGTACAGTGTGTATGTATATACATATATATATATATATACATATATACATATATATATATATATATATATGTATATACATATACAATAATATCATCACGTGTGATGATGTGCAAAAGTTAGTAGTGATATATATATATATATATACCAGTATGTAATAATTACAACCCGAGACCGTCCTAGGGCGTGCTTCGGGGGCTGTTTATGGCTTGATGTGGCTTTAGGGATCTATGGGCTAAAAGTGTTTGAGGCTTTAGGCTTAGGCGGGAGTCGTCACTTTCATCCTCGTGATGATCATCATCGTCATCAACACCAGCAGCAGCAGCAACTGCAACAACAGCCGCCTCAGCCACAATTGCAGCAATTGCAGCAACAGAAGCAAGTCGCAGGGGAACCATCAGTTGAACATGCTTTTGGCTTGTGTTGTGGATCCTTGGAAGACGCAATCTCGAAGGTACGGTGGTGTGAGGTCCGAAATCGTTTTGGAAAAGTGGCTCTTGAACAAACTACTGTGCCTTGGTGGAACGGCCTCTGGGTGACTTGGTGCCATGGGGGTGGGATGACTTCTGACTTGCGGGGTGACAAACACGCCTGCTAGCAGTTCCTGCTCCCATTGCTGGGCACAGGCTCTTTGTCATGACGCGGCCGTGCCCATACCAGCGGTGCATTTATCTCACGTCAGTCGGCGAGAGCACACATCACCCGAATGTGCACTCTGCTTCATCGAAATACACGTCGGTGGCGAGATCTCGCGTCAATACAGTATGGAAAACCAGCGTGAACACCTTTTGTACGATCTCGCGTGGTTTCACAGCGCGTCACAAATGGATAGCCCAAACCCCGTGGCACAGGAGGTGGCCCAACCTGTCAAGAAGATAGTGCAGAACCATCAACCCCAAAGCGCAGGAGGCCCAAAACATGTGACACTCGACAGAAAAACTCGCTGCGTCTTGGGGAGTGCGATGGCGACGCTCGATTCCATACGCACCCGCTCGAAACGCAAATCACATGTTCCCCATGTGGGCCCGGTGCGCCAAGATCGGTTTTGGAAGTGCACAAGATGAGTGCGGATGGGCAAAACCCCAATGTGGACGAAAACAGGATCCCTCACGAAAAACGCTTGTTTCAAGCTGGATTCCCGAGTGCGGACCCTAGTCGATGTGTACTTCAACCAAGCAATGCAAGATAAAGCGAGCCCACAGCGGCGCTGCATAAACGAAACACGATGCGACTTTTTCTAAGTGGTGACCGATCGAAGCCCAGCCCAGGCTAGTAACGCCATATTCGCCAGAGGGGGCTGAACTCCTGTTGCATGGTTCGTGGCCTTTCCTTCATGATCTGAGACAATAGACCACGTGACATGGTATCACAGTTTGTGCAGCATTCCCACAATGCATGGCGGGGATTGGGACGACTTCCGTCTTGCGGCGCGACTTCCAGATCTACTGCAACTGCAACAGCGACATCAATCCGCATCCTCTCCTCGTCGTCCTCCTCTCTCTTCCCCTTCTCTTCCCCTCCCCTAGAATAGGGTTTTGGGGCCCATTATACTGTAATTATAGTAAGGAACCCCCACACCAGTATAGGTAATTATTAAGGCCCCCTCCTACTCCCTCCTCCTTCTCCTCCTCAGCATTACCATAGACCGGTCACTGCCAGCCTGCATGTTCTGATACGGGTACGATATTGCCGTTGCACTCAGTAGTGCTACCACGTGAAGCTTATTACTTATACTGTAAGTCATGCTTTTCATGAAGTAGGCTTGACAGCATACCTCTTACTTTCTGTTGCGTTTCTGCTTTCAGCTTGCTGCTGGTGTTTACGATCTACGATTGTCCACGTGCTATTCATGGTTGCGCTTCCTGACAACACAACACTGGCAATTGTTGTGGTTTTGAGGATTCTCATGCTGACTATGACCACTTGCTCATGCAGTAGCAACTGTCGCGATGCGTACCGGCAGCGCGACTTTTGCGCTAAGAAACCGAGCCGAGACAGGTAAAGACGTCCGAGTCGCAAAACACCCTGTGCTTGAAGCGCCTCACCTCACCCCCCCAAACCCTCAACCCTCCAAGCCCCCCATCGCGCCTGTACAGAAGGAGGCAGACCAGCACCGTGACCAGCAGAACAAGCGCTGCTAGGCCAGGCACTACCGTGGAGCCTCACACCCACACGCATTGGTATGCAAACTGCTCACACGGTCTGAGAAGCTTCGGAATCGGCTTCCCTGCAGCTCAGGCTTTAGCAAGGGCTTGGCTGCAAAGATCCAGGGCTTGGGCAGCTCAGGGTCTCTTCGGTTCAATAATTAGAATGGGGGTTTTGGGGCCCATGATACTATAGTTACTATAATTATAATAAGGAACCCCCAAGATGGTATTAGTAATAATTAGAATAGGGTTTGGGGGTATATTATACTATAATTATAATAAGGAACCCCCAAAAGGGTATTGGTACTTGGACCGAAGAAGTCAGGGCCCAGTGCAGCTTCGGAGCAGATGCAGCTGGCAGGGTCTCCTTGGCTTCGCGGGTCTCTGCCCTCCAAGCAGAGCTCAACGGAAAGCTAAAAACCTTGGGGGCCTCGGTGGAAATCTAGACTAGGGCTTTGGGTATATGATACCATAATTATAGTAAGGAGCCCCCAAAACCCTGTTCTATGTTAAATCTAATGATCTAATGTAGGAACCTGATTAAGAAGCTCTGGCTCTTTATTATATAGGGTTCTTAATATGGACCGCAATATATTTGGGGTTCTAGGGCCAGTGTTTCTTAATCAGGTTCCTACATTATGTTGAACGGACGGGCCTTCATTATCTGGAAGATGGACGCACTGAAACTCGTAGCCAACACCATCCCGAGTCGCAAGCAGACTACCCCCCCACCCATGAGGTTCTGAGCCGTAGGCATGCGACCGAATCCCTTACCGCCCAGGACCTTCCGACTCTAAAGCCCTGAACCACGAAATTCAAGACCATACCCAGAAGAAAACGGGGTCCGTACGAAGGGGTTCTTGTAATGACAGCTATGATAGGACCCTGCCTCTTGAGGGCCTTTCTTAGGATCCCGTGCTTGTTTCCGAAACTCGTCCAAGCATCGGTAGAGGCCCAGCACTGCGAGGATGCTAGAGACGGCGAGCACTGACAAGCGCAGCTTTTGGGTCTAGGGCTGTTGGCCCTTTAGGCCCTTTAGGCCCCTCAGACCCTTTAGGCCGTTTAGGCACTTACAAGCAGGTTTCTGGTAGTAGGTTTCAGGGCTAAGGGTTTGCGGTGGTGGTGTCGGATTTGGAGCTCGCTGCTCGCGACCAATGACTCGAGACTGGAACTGTTTTTGGCTTGGGCTGTGAGCTCTGGGTCTTGCCTTTGGGAATTGGGCCTTTGAGGCTGGGTTGTGTTCAGGGTTTAGGGTTTCTGTTGCGGTTTGCTTAGGGTCTAGGGCATGAGGCATCGCATGGAACGCGTGGAGCCTTGCCTTGCGACTCGAGCAAAGCACCCTAAACCCTAAACCCTAAACCGAAAAGCCTGTGAAGCCTCGGACCCCTGGTCATCGAAGGGTTCCTGTAGAGCCGAGGTCTCTACTTGACTCCTGCTTCTGCCAACGACCTTCCAAGCCTTCAACCCAAGCAACATAGGGTTTAGGGTTTAGGGTTTAGGGTTTAGGGTTTGGGGTTTAGGGTTTAGGGTTTAGGGGTTTAGGGGTTTAGGGTTAGGGGCCTTAAGACTTAGAATTGGGTTTGGGGCCCATGACTCTAGAATTACAAAATAAGGACCCCCCAAAATAGTATTGGTAACTATTTTGCCCCCCAAAATTACCCTAAACCCTAAACCTCAAAACCCCAAACCCTAAACCCAAAACCCTAAACCCCTAAACCGTAAGTACCCTAAACCCTAAACCCAAAACCCTAAACCCCTAAACCGTAAGTACCCCAAACCCTAAACCCAAAACCCTAAACCCCTAAACCGTAAGTACCCTAAACCCTAAACCCTAAACCCAAAACCCTAAACCCCTAAACCGTAAGTACCCCAAACCCCAAACCCAAAACCCTAAACCCCTAAACCGTAAGTACCCTAAACCCTAAACCCGAAACCCTAAACCCCTAAATCGCAAGTACCCCACACCCTAAACCCTAAAACCCCCAAACCGTGAGTACCCTAAGGAATCTAAACCCTAAACCCTAACCCCTAAACCGTAAACCCTAAACGCCTAAACTGTAAGTACCCTAAGTACCCTAAAACCTAAACCCCTAAACCGCAAGTACCCTAAGTACCCTAAACCCTAAACCCTAAACCCCTAAACCGTAAGTACCCTAAACCGTAAGTACCCTAAACCCTAAACCCTAAACCCTAAACCCTAAAACCTCTGAACCGTAAGTACCCTAAGCACCCTAAACCCTAAACCCCTAAACCCCAAACCCTAAACGCCTAAACCGTAAGTACCCTAAGTACCCTAAACCCTGAAACCCCAAACCCTAAACCCTAAACCCCCAAACCCTAAACCCCCTAAACCGTAAGAACCCTAAGTACCCTAAACCCCAAAAACTGGCAGCCTGCCAGGACGGGCCCGGCCCAGGCGGGCAACACGTCAGTTGCCGAGGCAAGGAGGTTCGAGACCCGGAGAGCCTCGAGGCTTTCAGGGTTCGGGGTTTAGGGTTTAGGGTTTCAGGGTTTAGGGTTTCAGGGTTTAGGGTTTCAGGCTTTCAGGGTTTCAGGGTTTAGGGTTTAGGGTTTCAGGGTTTAGGGTTTAGGGTTTCAGGGTTCGGGGTTTAGGGTTTCAGGGTTCGGGGTTTAGGGTTTCAGGGTTTAGGGTTTAGGGTTTCAGGGTTTAGGG